TTCGCCCTTCTTGCCTCCACCCGCTTCTGTGCTTACCGAGTCACGGCACTAACCAGGCTTATTTTCACGGCATACCACCGTCTTAATATAGACTTGCGAATGGTATCGAGTTCGGTCTGAACGTCCACCCGTTCTATATTTCTCTCTTTCTCTATGTCCCCCCTCTCCCCTCGTCCTCTTTCTCTCTCTCTCTCTCTCTCTCTCGCTCGTGCTCTCTTGCTTTCGCCTCGCTGGCACCCCGCTTTCGCGTTCGACTGATTTTCTGGCATCGCGAGTTCGATGATACCGCCTTGCAGAGGTAAACGGCCCGTAAAAACAGTTCTGGCGGTCGTTGATACTTACGCTAAAGGCAAATTCTTTTTCTGAATGGATTTATGACTGTCACAGCTGTTATTCGCAGTCACGCGATTAAGACAAAATGATTATTGCACACTCTTTGGATATTATGCTAATTATCTCGGTAACAAAGTTATTTTCCGTAACGGATGGGATAGTTGCTGAGTGCATGTTATGCTCTCTTATCGCATAATTTCATTGGAAATTTACACGTTATTTAACGAACCACTGTAATTATCAGTGTTACATATTAGCCATCCACTGTAATTATTAATATTTTCGCCGTTCAAACTGCGACATTGTTCGCTGAGATATTCTAAAAACGACGTAGAAGACGATGGTTGTGATCTCGAAAACGGGGCACATATACTTTAAATCGACACGATGATTCACGACGCCATTAATCTATTTCCACGTGCCGTGCCACCGATTTCCACGAAGTGCCTTTTGATCTGCGAAGATGAATCGGCAGCGCAGATTCGGTTGTGTATCGCACAACCGTGAGGCTTCAACGAATAGGGAAAAGCTTCTGGAGGGGTTGAGGCCGTTTAGATCGAAGTCGTAAACGTCATTTCAATTGCTCACTTCTCGTTTACAATGCGAGTCAAAGAGCTCGATGGAGCAGGTGCCTTTCTTTCTGCGCGAACAAATCAGATTGTTTCTCGACTCATGCGCGAGCTGCGTTAACATTTTGTGAATGGACCATCAAAAGCTACTTCGATAAAATTATTCCGTGGCAATTTCCCGTCAAGAATAATAATTTATAAATAAATTGATTGGAAATTATTTATAAAAGAATAATTTTGCAAATTATTATCTTTCATGAAATTATATCACACATTAATTTTATTAAAATAGCTCTTAGGATGAGCCATTTACAATGTATCGAGATTTATCTTATCAAGTGAGCGAAAAAATCGTGCGATATTTCTTGATTTTATAAATATGTAATACTTGAGAATTCATCCTTAGTAAAATTTATACACGGACATGTGGGTTGCAAGTGTAAATTTCTGTTACGGATGAGATCTGGAAAAAGATCGCCTCCGTAAAACCTCGCGTTAGTTATTGCACAGCTTGCGCCAGTGGTCTGCAGCTTGTTACGGAAAATTTCCTGAACGATTCGAATACTAAATAAATTACCGTGATAGATAAATAGATTCACTGTGGGTTCGTTACATTGTTTCACTGCTCTAGTAAGCTACATGCCTCTGCCACATGCAGTTACATAGCAGTAGTTATTGCGTACAGTTTTTCAACCGTGCGCGAAGAAGTCCATAATTATATGAACGATCTATAATTAAGTAAATTGTGGAGGTTAGCATTGAAACAGAGTCATTTATGGAAAGAGTCTGCGATGATCGCGTGACTGCGCAGCGAATGCAGAATTTTATGTGTTACGTTATGATCGATACAGCTGCTAACGGACGGGGTCTTGGAAAATCACCGGCACCGCTAGTTCACGGCACAATCGCGAGATATCCTTTCACAGATCTGTGTGAAACGTTATTTTGTATTTAAAAACGTGATCGAATAGTACGATTTAAAATTATAACTTCTCGCCCGTTAGCGGTAACCCAGCTCTCTTACATTTACGACAGAATACTGACTGTCATTTATGCGAGCTTCGAAAAATCAGATTAATTTGAGGAATCTTTAGACAAGACACACTGACTAACTAATTAAAGAAATCCCCGGACTAATTCAGACATGTACAAAATTTAAAGACGAACCATTTCTCGCTCGGTTGCCATTAATAATTCAGTCTCAATGTGAAAAGATGTAGTATTTTAATATATCGCGCCCATGCGCGCAAAGATGAGCACACTTTATGCGCATGCATCGCTGTAAAGTGGCGTAACAGCCTAACTGTATAAACAGCGTGCAAATCCTCCTTGAAATATACGAGTGATTAGTCGCGTCCATAGCCGACGGCGGATCCTTGGGATCTCTCTCTTTTTTCTCGGAGTTTATCCCCAAAATTAGAGCCCACATCCCGCAGTCGGTGCTACGTGCGCGGGATTTATACGCGTTTACGTACGGCTGGCCGATGCGAAGCCGTTTCGCGCGTGCCGATAACTCTTTCGAGACGAACGAGTCGCATCGCTGTTCCTCTCACAGACGACGGCCCGTGGTACCAGTATAACCGCTGGAAAAGTCGGATTTCGAGACGCCGAAAATAAACATCTCCGGCGGCTTTGCCAACGCGCGCGAATAAGACGTGACAATTGAAAATTTCTCACGTGTGACGCGTGAAATCAGAAATCAGCATCATGGCCGTGGAAAACGGATTCGCGCGTACACGCGCCGCTTTGTGCGAGGAACGGTTTTCCGCGAGCGGACACTGATGAAACGTGTTAATAGCGGGACGCGGATTAATAGACTGACGTTTCCGCGAGGCGTGCATTACGCGAGTAATGATTTCTCCAAAATGTAACGTCGGAGTGTTGCATTACGTGAAATTTCCAAAAACATTCCTTCCCGTTATAACCCGATCTTCCAGTTTAAACTTTCAATATTTCTTTTCCTCGAGGCCCGAGACAGATTCGTTATGCGACGATGTCGCGCGAAAAAGCGCAGAGCGACAAGCCGGATCCGCTCTGTCGCCCATTTAACCATCGGCCCTCCATACTCCGAAAATAAACGTTCCCCACGCGTTTGCCTGTACACACGCGTGTACAATTGAAAATTTGCTGTTTGTCGCCGGCCGGCGTTGCATTAATCCGGGAAGAGGCCAGCCGTCGCAACGTCGAATAGTCGGCAAGAAACGTCGGGAAAGAGAGAGAAGAGAAAGGAGAGGAGCGGTTCGCCACGCTACCAGCGCCACTAAATTAGCTTAATGCGATGCATTTGATTAGATCGCTAGTGAGGTTGTATGAGAAGGTGGCGGGGGTGGTGTGCGGGGGCGGAAAGAGCTTTGCTCTTTCGAGCTGCGCGGGGTGGCCAGCCTCGTTTCATGGAATTGATTAGATTCAGTTATTAATATTCCTCTATCCCTCACTTCATTTCCGGCCCCGATTAACTCGGCGCTAACAGCGTGACGACGAGCAGAGACCACGGTGCAGAAGCGAACACTACTCTTGCCCCTTCTTCTCTTTCTCTCCTATACTACCTTCGTTTGAGTTCATCGTCTCTCGTTCGCGCGACGGGCTCCGAACGCTCTACCGAACGTGAGTCAGTAGAAGTTTCCCTAACTTCGATCTAACGCCGTTAATTGCTGCTATTTCCTTCGTCGCGTCGCTTATGTGTAAAGCACAATTTAAAAATATTATGAGAATACAAAAAGTAGTTGATCTGCCTGTCAAAGTATATGTCTTGACACGAACTAAGTTGGTAAGAGCGCTACGTAGATACAGCAATGTAGATTATGACAGATTATACAGATTATGTAGTTGTATTAAAAATGTATATTACAAAAATTATATAAAATAAAATTATGTATTATGATTATGTGGAATAAAAGCGAGGGAATTTTTTTGGAGTCATTCTACGCTCGGAACATATTTTATATGGGCCGTCTTCTGGAGCGAATCGATAATGTTACTTCGTCAAAGTAGTTCACCGCACTCAATGGGGAATCGCTATGTGGAGGGCGGTTATATGCGTGCAATTGCGCGTGTGCACGCGCTGCACTAAGCGCGAAGCCAGTTCACGCACTCACCGAAGCAAGAAGCAATCCCGAGATCAACTACGCGGCCAAGGAAAACATCGGAACCGACGATGAACTAGTAGACCGGGAGGTCTCGTAATGATAAGATCATCGCTTCATACTTGTCCATTTCAACGTAATAGTCAATAAACAGTCGGGAAATTTAGCGGCATGCGCAGTATGTCGCGACGTGCCAAAAGTCAAGATACGCATCGGATAGATCGCATAGAAGCAGCTTTCTATCATTTCACTTACGAGGAAATATGAGCGTGCCACGCCAATTTCGGTGGACTTTGGATATGCTATAGATCAGATAAGAATAATACGTATTTTTTGTATATGCTTTGTCACACGTTTATCGCAAACCCTGGGAGGAAATTCGGTAAAATTGATCGTGAGCGAAAATCCTTGAAATCTTGAAGTACGTAAAAAAATATTTCAGACAAAAGTTTTATGATATCTAACGTTGTTTACAACTGTGTATTTTAATCTTCCGAACGTTAATTTTTACGTGTTTTCAATTTAAAAATTTTTAAAAAATTTTAATGCAAAATGACAAAGCGTGATAGATATTATAAAACTTTTATTTATAATATTATCTCAAGGGAGAATTTCGAGAAGAGAGCTCATAATTAATTATATCAGATTACTTTCGAAATTTTTCAATTTTTAAATGAATGGAAAAACAGATACGTAAAAAATATATATCTTATTATTAACTACTTTACAACATATCCAAAGTTCATCGTAATCAATGAAACACATTTCCATATGTGCCCATGTTGGACTAAATAACAAAGTACTCTTCAATAGTTCATCAAAGAACAGAACTATATGCATTAAAAAAAAATATAACTCTTTGGTTATTCGAGTGGCGTATTTTAATACATGGCGCAAACTTAAATATGCAACATTCAATGGTTCGCAAAAATCCGCAAACTAAGTGGCGTTGTGATTTTGATAAGATACTATAAATACCCAACACTTTTTACATTTTATAAATTTTTTCACTCACCGAAATACCAGGAACTCAAGGTCAGCCACGTTCCACCACAGGTCTAGAACAAAAAATATAGTTTTACCAATAAGATGATAGCTAACAATTTAAAGAAAAAAATACGTTTAAGTACAAGCATGTTAATTCTTCGCTTATTGTAGTTAAATGATTATTATGCCAAAATTATGTACCAGTATTTCATCATAGAGTTAAATACAAGAGTCAAACCTACCTTACAGCCGATCTTGCTCGGCCCGAACCGGATCCTCCGGTACGGCATTCGCATCCACCATGTGGCCGCAAGCTCCGGCAAATCTGAAATAAAAAGTGAGGTCCCCGATAAGTTCATCGAACGTCCGTTAAAATGGGAAATCTCCTGTACAATAAATGATTTTACACACATGAAAATATACCATGTACCGTTATCCGTTAAAATAAAAAACGACTAAATTTCCATGATAGCCATTTCGTAAGCGTGTTCATTCTTCAAGTTTTCGCGGGCCTCAACTCATGTTCGTGTATTTTGCTATTGCCATACAGATATGCGTAAATATAGGCCGATTACTTTCTCCGTCGCAAGAGGAGGAGTGTTTTTCATCAAATATCCGAACATTACGTAACTTTTCGAATATCGCTCGCGCGGGATTCACAACGTAGCTCAAAACGTGGAAGTTAAAGCCCACTTGACTTATTTGCGTTCGCGGCTTGTCTAAGCATGGTCAAAGCAATTGCGCGTCTACACGCGTGTGCACGCAGAGTAAACGGCGCCTATTCCACGCGTATGCTACGCCATAGAATATGAGAAGCCGCCGGCAGATCGCGGAGATGTAGCCAAAGCAAACAAAGTGCCGGCTAGACAGTGCGACCCTACATACGAGGCTCGACACTTAACGATGTATTACAGTAATCGTTTCATTACCGGAGTACCAGATAGGCACGACGATGCGCTGATGAAAGCCTATTATTGCCGTCGTCATTATCACACATCTGAATTTCCAATTGATTTCGTGAGTGCTCTACGTTTTATCAACTTTGCGACGCGATAAGACATAATCCTAATCCCAATCTGTCCGCTCTTTCTTTTTCTTTCTTTCCTTTCGAAGCGTTATTTCTATGAGCTAATTTAAAGTCCGTAAAATATGAGAAAATCCAAATAATTGAATTTAAGCAGTGAAGCAATCGCGAATATTCCGGGCGGAACGTTACCGGAAACGAGAAGCTGTCGATTAAAAATTCTCAATCGATCGGTTAATTAACTTGACGCTGAAGCGTGTATGCTTCTGCACGTGTTGATACAATACGAGCGTACATATTGCGGTCTAATATCTTTATGATTGATAAATTACTCGCAATTCCCGATCATAATTGAATTCTTCATAACCGTTATTCTCAAGCGATGAAGTGCGTTTTTATCGGTCCTCCCGATAGATTATTGTTATTAACCACTTAGAACACTTCACACACGAGAGCCCCAATTTCCGTTAACCACTTGTCCCCCGCGGTTTCGCACACCCGTAAGGATGCCGCCAAAGCGACGCGCACACTCGCGACTCGTTGCACATGCAGATGCCGCAACGGCGTGTTCGTGCGCATGGTAAACGGGCCTCTTCACGCGAGGAGGCGAGCGAGGAGACGTCGCTCGAAGATCACGAATAAGTAGCCAAAGCAAACGTACGTACGAGTCTGCCTAGTCGGTTCGTCGGCAAAAGCCGCAGAAAGAGATCCCACAGACTGACAAAAAAGCTCTCATATAACCGGGCGAGAGAGAGAAGCGGACGGATCGTGTAATAGTAAAACGCGTGTATCGCACATGCTGTTGGCCGTTACCGAGTTCTCTCTCTCTCTCTCTCTCTCTCTCTCTCTTTCTTTTTTCTTCCCTCCGTGATCTCTTTCCGTCGGTCCGCTCTCGCGTACGTTTATCTGTCCCGCTCTTCAACGTCTTTCGATTCCTCACTTTGTTCTTCGGCTCTTCCCCTTATTTCCGTCCTCTCTTAACTTCTCCGCTGCGAATGGACCGAACGATTCAATCCGTAGCTCTCTGATTGTAAAAATAAACGGATCTCGCTACTTTCTTTCGTACCGCATCTCCGCTTCGATCTCAGAAGAGGGCTGAGCTGACGCGCCGCTGCAGAGCACACGGTTCCCTTCTATTTCCGTACCCATGAAAACCGGAGTCTGTGTTTTTGACCCTTACCGGGTCGCTCCGCACGAGTATTTATCTATTTGTCTTCGCGCAGATGCGATCGCGTATATACTTAAGTCGAACTGTTGCAAAACCTTTAGCACAAATTCGTGTTAATATTTATTAATATTATTCAAATCAACTGTACGATTGATAGGAAATATCCATGCTTATGGTGGATCACATTCAATAACCTCAGTTGGCTTTAACGTTCCTTGTAAAAGCAACATCGTGAAATTACGAGTACCTAGAGTCGGTTCGCGCACGTAGTCTATTTATAATTTAATTTGTAAAGCTTCGGAGGCATCGTTAAGGGTTGCGAGTATATTTATTTTGACCCACCGGGCTCAAAACTCTCGAAATCCATTCGCTCTTAGTCTTCGACATGGTGGCCGAACGAAAAGAATTTTTATGAGGGCGTTAAACGAGCGGTGAATGTATCTCTAGAGTTCTGCTTTCCAGGCACGATCGGTTTATCGTTCAACGAACGATCGGGAAGCCCATCTCTGTCCGTCTTCCCTTTCTTCGTCTCCTCGAGAAATATACAAAGTCGTTGAACTTCTCCGTTGCACATTGTGCCGAACCAGTTTGCCTGAATGTACAAGATGAGACGCCCAACTCTCGCGCGCTCTGATTGAATATTCGTTTAATTACTCAAGAATAATGGATAATGCAACGTATTTTAATACAGCATTGAATCTTCAACTTTTTTATATTTAACTTTGAAATTATACCTCAGGAAATTCTTTCATCGTTATATTTTATATATAGTGTTAAATAAATAATAATGTAAAAATTATGTAACAGTATTTGTTAGCTTGAATATTAGATTAATAAAATTTTACATACATGGGAACGAAGATGGTTAATATGTTGGCGTAATTTACGAATAATTGAAAGCATATTAGTTGTCGCATATTGTATGACTAATTGAAAAATAACGACTGGTAATCGTCTTCATTTGCTACGAAATCGGGAGCTTAATTGATTACCACATGGTAATTGCTTAGCGTGAGAAGTGAGGCAGCTCATCGATAGCGCAAATGACTTCACATGCACATGGCGAGGAGACGCGACGTACTCGTCATGAGAGACGGTGTATTAACGTTATTAAAAATGCCACTTTCTTCCTAAATAGAGTAAAATCACTTATATTTAACAACTGTAAACACTATACTATTCATCAAGAATAAGTTGCAGCGAGTGGCTCTTCGATAAATTAAAATTATTAATTATTATTATACATTACACGTGCCTTCCTTCTTTCCCAATCAATATCAATTACCAAAATTAGAATATTAGCTCTTTCGTATATGTCAAGGTTTGATTTCTACGAAAAGTTTGAATGTGTCCAATTTTAATTAATTAACGCCAACTTTTAAGCGGACATATAGAAATAGAAATATGTCTGATTGGCCTTTTTTGTCTGCAATCAAGCATTAACATAAAATAATATATAAACAAAATGTAAATAGAGCTGGCATTAATTACGTTAGACAATTTCAGCGATTACGAGGTTACATTTACTCGCTGCACTTGGCAAATATTAATATTAGAACTGCATGCGACGTATTCCATGTTAGATATAACGTTAATAGTAGTAATGCGCAACTCATATTGCACAGAGAATGATGGACGAGTTATTCATTAAGTTAATTACTCTTAATTAATCAATTTTTAATTTGAGTGGATTATAAAGCTTTGCCTAACGAGAAAAACGTCCTACGATTACAACTCTACAAAGGTTGCGTAGGATCATACATTCTTTTATCATTTACATGGTTAACATCTAGAAAATGATAAAATAATTCATTTAATACCAAGAAGAATTCGACAAATTATTTTAGTTGTATATTTTCTACAATATTAGTTGCATTATTTTAGTTGTATATTTTCTATAATATTATCAATATTCAAATAATCAGATATTATCTATATGCTCTTTTAAATATTTCTCGAATACCCGAATATGCGATTATTATGCCAATTATTTCGGTAAAACGACAGCGTTAATTTTTATTACGTTGAAAATCTAAAGAAACATAGTATCTAACAGATTTAAAATTGAATATTTATAAAAAAATCCTGCCGTATAAGTATGGAAATATTAAATCAATAAAATATAAATAAAGACCCACGCGTACAAACGTATAGAAAGAAGCATTAGATTTAAATAAATAATTACTCCAATACTTAGCAAATTTTTACTTGGCTTAAGTATATAAGTAAATATTTCACTTAGATAATTTACATGGAAAATATTTTATTTGGATCGAGTAGAAATATTGAAGTAATTATGTACTTGAATCTAGCATGTTTTTTTTTCTATGCGTGATGTGTGAAAAACAAGAAAGAAAATTTCTTCGACGTTGTCATAAATCCGCTTGTTAGAAACGATTTTCATTGGAATCTGGCAGGCGTGCTGCGATTCGCGATAGCTATAAAGACGAGCTAAGACGCACCGCGACAAAACGCAAGAAGCGATCCAGGTTTCTCGATGGTTCCTTTGGCATTCACCTCGGTATTCGCCTATTTGCATCGTCGGGATATCGCGCAAAGTAAAAAGTCCAATGCACACGGCGGTGGCCACTAATCCGATTTTCGCGACAGGTCGATCTCACGCATGGTTTGGTAGTGAACGGTAGCGCGCCGGCTGCGCGTACTCGACTCGAAGCGGCATAAATCAGAGGTTTATGGTCACGAGAGAGAAGTCAAAGGAGGCTTTGGCCGTCGCTTCGACCGTCACACATTTTACCGAAATCGTCGTGGCGCACGGTACTGGACGATATATAATGGCCAGGCCGTCCGTGGGATTCGTTTGCATGTACGCGCGGGAAATACACTCTGTCAGTGAATCATCGAGCGTATATATAAACATATATATACGCATGCGTATGCACAGGCCGCGACATGTAATCCGCGTTCGTACCGGTGCAAAATTTTGTCTACCGTCCTATCATTATATCGGTGGCCCCGGCGTTTTCTCGAAATTCGCGCAAAATTATTTCTCTCCGACCATACACGCGGCACGTAATCAAAGTTACAAGAGTGCTTTTATCTTCACTCATTATCTTCACTCCTTGCGAAAAATGTTCCGCCTTCGACAAACTGAAGATCCGGAAAACAGATATAACCGAGCTCCTCGTGAAAATGTGAAAGTCAACGGTTTAAACTATTCTATGCGTGACTTCCTCGTGCAAGATCAACCAAAGATAATAATCGTGAAATTCGAGTTAAGCGCCGCAGCCTGCGTATTACCGGCGAATGCACGTGACACATGTGTAAAAGTTGGACAACGCGCGTCACCACTTTGTCGCCTTGATCTCACTTTCGGAATGCCGAATAATATTGCCGGGGTATTGGCGAATGAGCCCGCAAATCTCGCGGAATTTTCCGTTAACGTTACGATCGATCATCTCGTTATCTCACGAGATATTCGAGCGATTTCGTTTGTTTCGCGCACCGTGATTTACGAATGCCGGGAACGACGTTTCGACCGACGCGATTATTAAATTTCACTCGTAAATCAATTTAGTACGAAATCAATATTTACCACGAGTCCGGGGTATTTTTCCACGAGAAGAGTCACATCGGGTAAACCTCACGGCGTCGCAACTGCAGCGATCGTCGCGGTTCAGCCACGTCGCAGAATTTAGAATCCGTGACCGCCGATTAATCTCCGAGCGGTCGTTATCCGTCAGGTTCTCCACGCTGGTCGCGCTTGGACTTTAAGTGCTCGGCTTGGTGGATGGTCAGTGATGGTTTCCGGAAGTGTTTTCCGTGCTATTATGACGCGCGATATGAATCGATCGGATACAGCGAAAAGGAACTTTGCACGCACGCCAATTCGCGCAGACAATGAGAGCAAAGACATCCTGATTCTGAAACGGAGCGAAATTCAAGCACATCAAGAGGATCTGAAGTGAAATTCAACGCGAATCTGAGCTTCTCTCGCGTCTGCCTCGCGTAAGCGAGACTCATTGGCGATCCGTCCGTACAGGTTAGAACGAGATTATCGTATCTCGCGGACAGTAGCTTGACTCGCGATTGAGAAGCGCTTACCATTAATCTTTAGACGAAATTGACCGCTCCGATGTTGATCTCCTCGACGTGCCCGAAACATTTCGCGATAGTTTGGACGAAGAATCGTAGAAGGGACTGGTCGAGCGTTCCGCTCGGCGCCAAGCGCGCGTTCCGAAAAGGGCGACTTCCCATGATTCGCTACTTTTTTCGAACGTAACATATTTGTCGCCGGAGCGCGTCACCACCTCACTAGATGGCGCTAGTGATCTCGCATTAGCGCCTGGCGTTGCGAATACAACTTTAAGCTCCGTATCATATCTGAGTATCTAAAATCAAGAATATAAATATAATAAATATACATTTAATTATATAATTCTCTAATTAGCTATATATATATATATATATATATATATAAATATAGTAATTTCAAAGGCTGTGTTAGTATGTCAGGCAGTTATAATGAGTACGAGTAAGTAACACGTGAATGAATAAAAATTATTAGTAAATTTTGATTTAATAAATATTAATTAATAAAAGTTATAGATTAATTAAAGTCCGACAACACTCTTTGCGAAAACGGAAGGCAGGAAATTAAAACCCAGCGTTACAATGGATCGATTAGTTAGCAGTCTTCTGATATTATATTAAATATATTAAAATATATTAAAAATCGTAATATGTTAAAATAGATTAAAAATCGTGTTTTAGATATTTATTTATTGAATATGTATTTGTAATATAATAATACGTAAATTTCATTTCAACGTGATGGTTCTCTAAAAAATTTCGATGATAGGCGGGCTTTCTTTCAACATTTAAACATTTTTTACTTGTTTACCGATACGATACAAGTTAATGTGGTGAACCATGGAATTTACCGATGAGTTTCGCAGCTCGCATAGTTCGTTTCTTCAACATCGTGACAATGAGTTGGACAGGGGTTGAAGTCGGAGGACTAACTACTTGCTAAGTCCTCGAGGTTCTCTCTCAAAGAGATCGGCGCGAAGGAAGGGTTACGATCTGGTCGATTGCTGTAGTTCAGCTATAGCTACCATATCGAGGATTGTGTATTCGTTTCAGAAACAATAATTAGACGAAAGAAAAATCTGAAAATAATGAAGTGCCCATTAACGACTTGAACAGTTTACAGATATACTTTTTTATCGTGACTTTATATCTTTAAAATTAAATTATGACAAATATATTTTACACATATTTTAATTATTTTATTGCTTTAAAAGTCTAATTAAAAATTAACAAATACATAATAGTTCTATTTTATAAAAACTCTTCAATACAAAAATTTTAAATTGATTGGAACGTATTAATATTGATTAAATCCGTCATTTTAGAGGAGTTCATATGTATTTGTCACAATCTCTCTATAGCTTGAGATAAATGTAACCATGTAACAGTTGATACATCTATTTGTATTCAGTAGAGTTTTCGGCACATTCATTTTCATTTTTTCGACACTCCTATTCGGAAGGAAGAGAAACCATTTAATCAAGCTCACGCGATTTGGATAAATGCTGTAACATTTTATAAAATTTTCACCGAAAACTCAACGTGGTTTCACGTCTGTGAGATTTAGTGTATATGTCTTCCATCATAATCTATCCAGTTCAATAGGGATAATCGATTTTCATTCGACTTGTTTGTAATTTGTATCCAGATACGTTTTCAACGGCGTTTCTGGGATACACGTCATCCTTATCGCAATATTTAACCACTGTAAGAAACGTGTTTCCATTACAAAATATTTCTGTATTTGTCTGCGAAGTTTCCTAAGAGTTTATGAGGAAACTCCGCCGCTAACCGGCCAACGTGGGTTCCTCTCGAAGAACCTCTTCGGTGTTTGCCTCACGCTACTACGGTGCTCTCTTTGCCATCCCTTTAGTTTCACCACCGGTACACTCAGCAGCCCCCCGTTCCTCTTTTTCAACATCCTCCCTCCTGCAAGTACGGTGGCACCCCGCAAACCCACCCCTTCCCTTGTGCGCAAAACGCGCGCGGCCACAATCGAGTCTCCGGAAGTCCTGAAGAAGCTGCCAACGAGACCGACTAACTTGCATAATACATTTTAATTTATAGTGATATTAAGTAACAACTTTACCGACGCGCATGTATTTGACTATGTCGAGAACGGAGAAGATTTGAAAGGGTTGTCAGTGTGTGCTCAAGGTTAACATACAATGATATATTCGGAAACAACTATGAATAATTTTATAATTGCAAAACCCATTATTTTTGTTAGTAACTATATTGTCTTGCGGTCATAACGTTATGTACAAGATGTCCCATATGACTATCAATACTTGAAAATAAGTTTAGAATATATTGTAAAAATATGCTGTTTCTCTGTATATAATAAAATAAATATATGTATTGTAGGATAATTAATGCTTTCTACTTAGTAAGGCGTTCGCAACACAAAAGAAATCTTTTATTTACAGAAGCTAATGTAAGCTTTCTAGTTCGTGACTTGATATCTCACTTTGCTCTGAAAAGCACGGAAAATCGACCAAAGAAATTAAACGGCCATGACTTTGGCCGGAAACCGCCTGTGTAAATACAGCTGTGACGCGTCGCGTTGTAGAGACAACTCTATAACATCCTACTTTGTATTGCTATGTTTCTACTTTCTCACTATTTATAGTTTCCTCGGCAAGGTGAACGATGATCCCCGAAATATGCCTGAATAATAGACTGAATATACATGCACACATTCCTGATTATAATACATATTATAATTCGCGCGCACATAAATAACATGTAAATCCAGATATAAATTGACTACTTTTTATTTTTAATTTTTAACGAAACGATTTGAATGGAGAGGAGGCAGCAACTGGAAAATTGCTTTGACCCAACGAGTACTGTAGTTCATTGGTTAAGGTTAGTTTGTCTGACGAGAGCCCAGACGATTCGTACGCCATAGTGATAATGACAAACATAACCATTACTGGCCAGAGTTGCTAAACAGTAACGCGGCAGGGCAGCTTTTCGGTTAGAGTAGCTTGGCGGTAAGCCGAGATAAAAACTACTCGTCCAGAAAATTAAATAATAAATCACTTTTGCGCCCGAACACACAAGTCCGAGTTTCTTCCACGCAAAGATGGTAATTAAATATTTCTCCTGTTATCTCTTTTTTTTCCAAGAGCGAGTGCGCTTGATTAATTCGCTATGCAATTAAAGTCGACCGATCTAATTCCTGTCTCGATATCGCGAATGTTTGTCCAGTCTAACGAGTGAATCACTTAGCCAGGTGTTAACGACCTGTCGGTAATCAAGATAAATTACTCACACCGATCCCATGCTTAATGGTGAAATCAGCCGTACAGATCGAGCGCTTATAATGTGGTCGGAAATTAAGACGTTTCTTTCAAGCCGGTTTACGATAGAAATCAAGGAACGACGACTTTTAAATTAAAAAGTCGTTTGACTATTCGCAGCTACTTTTCGATAGCTGATCCTTCCCAGAAAGAATATCTGGTTTCTTTGACTCTAGAATTTTTTAAAGATACAGGTCATTACCCGAATTAAAAAATGGTTGCGGAACATGATTTCAACAATTGCTCATAGATGATCTTAAAGAAAGTGACACAATAGGGATGAAAAAAATTCTTCACTCAATATTAAGCACTGTAAGTTTTATTTACATAAGGTATTGAATAAACTATATCGATAATAAACGCTACTCCCAACAAGAGTCAATTACATTCGATACACGCGAAAATGTGCCTCCGTCGCACACTTTTCCATTTCCCACGACGCCAAACCACGAGGTGCGGCGTTAAAAGACCTAAACACCGCAAACCCAAACGCTCACTAATTTTCTGTTTAGTCGTAAAATAAATTCTCCGCGGGCCAGGAGGGTATGCAGTAGGTTCGAAACGAGGAAAATGGTTCTCGAGCGTATTTCCACCCTTCTCGTACCCCCAATAGCAAGGGCAGCGCCGGTGGGCGTCGATGGTGGTGGCGGTGATGCCGCCATTTACGAAGCAGCAAAATTTGGAACCAGAAGTAATCGAATTTGTTGGCGTCGTTTAATGAGAGCCGCACAATAGTTGTCTGTATAATTGGTACATACCCCACCGTCCAAGCCATGGCGACCCAAACGTTTCCTCTTGCGCACCCCTTCCCGCGACAGTTCTTCCTGCTCATCAGCGTCACCGTCAGCAATAACGAGAACGAAGGAAATGAAGAGGGAGGGAGAGAAAAAGACAAGAAGAATATGTGTTGTAACTATTTGGCACGAACGGTTTCTCATGAAAGCGCAATTTAGTGGTTCTTAATTGCGTTCAAGAGTTCAATAAACTCATTTTAGACTTTCTCGAAAAAGACTGTCCTCTGTGCAGTATAATGCCCGGTGTTATAACGTATTTATTTCCGTCTTGATTAATAATAGATTAGGCGGCATTGGACGCATCCGATATCACAACTCGTTAAATGCTCACCGAACGTACAGAATGCATTTAGTAATAAATAGTCGAAGTATCGATAAAATTTTTTTTTTCAAAACGTTAGTGTTTTGTTTACCTATTAGTTAAGAGATCGCCAAAGTGTTTCTTGGTGCGATCTAATGTTTGAAAATCCCCCTTTCGACTATTTACCAATATGGTGATTAAATGTTCCATGAAATCACAAGTTCCACGTCATAACATTTTAAGAGTATCCCCACTCCAGTCATTTGGACACAACACACGTTGCTCTAGCACTCCCAGACGGATTAAATGGGTATACGTACATGTATAAGTCTCCGCGCATGTGGAGCATCTATCTACACATACATATCTCTCTCGAGTTGAGATGTGAGAAGAAAAATTGACAGTCTTTATATATATATATAAATATAAGAATTATATTTATATAAGAAAAAATTTGTTCTATATATATATATATATATATATAGAACAAATTTTTTCTTACTGTTTAACGATACAGTATATTTTACTGCATTTTGTCATACCTATTCTTTCTTTATCTGCTCATTTCAACTGCTATGTTTTACGTATTTGTTTGGATTCGTTCTCCTTTGATCTATCTATTCTTCTTAACGTCCGACAAAAATTGGTTTCTTCATATGCAATTCTGATAATGAAATTAACAAAAGTCCAGATATCACAAATTGAACGCGAGCGTTGGGTCCATTTGGA